GGACTGCTACGTCCGCACTAAATCATGTTTCTAATCGGGATTTGCACTCGTGATCGCTGGATTAAAAGTCCCAGAGTGCTGAGCCATTACACCATAAAGAGCTCCTACTTTTAGAAACAACACGCCCAATTCGCAACCCGCTCGAATCGCACGCAATTCATGTATTTACGGACATGCCCCATGTGCTGCACATACCCCTTTCACATATCATCGTGCTCCTACACTTACGGCCATGCTCGCATGCTTCCTTCGCCACCCGGCTTGCTTCAATCCCCGCCTCGAACCATCCGGTTGCTACTCGCTTTGACGTCGCATTTCTTCGTGTTATGGATACCCACGGGATCTATTGCTCTCGCGGAAGGCTGCGATGAGCCCTCTGGCTGTCTTGGATAATTGGTAGTGCAGTCAGCGAAGTCGGCAGTTAGGCTTGGTGAGCTCTGCCAGAGCAGCAGCTACCACTTAAATCGGCAGCGAATCGCCGGGACACGATATAACACACCATGGCAACACAACGTGACGCGGCTGTAGCGTGTGGCAGGTGCGCAACGCAGCAACAACTGGGGCGTTGTGGGGCCGGTAGGAGCGGTGCAAAACGAGGTCCTACCGGGATTTGAGCCCGGATCGCTGGATTCAGAGTCCAGAGTGCTAACCATTACACCATAAGACCAGCACTAACTCACCAATCCGCAAACAAAATTTCAAACGCTTTCCTAAAGCCCCACACGACAGCTGGCGCCATCGCTACATTCTATGTCTGCAACGCCGCACAAAACCAAGCTCCTACCGGGATTTGAACCCGGATCGCTGGATTCAAAGTCCAGAGTGCTAACCATTACACCATAAGAGCACCTAGCTGAGACACAACCCGCCCAATCCGCAACCCGCTCGAATCGCACGCAATTCACGTATTCATGGACATGCCACATGTGCTGCACATACCCCTTTCACATATCGTCGTGCTCCTACACTTACGACCATGCTCGCATGCTTCTTTCGCCACCAGGCTTGCTTCAATCCCCGCCTCGAGCCATCCGGTTGCTACTCGCTTTGACGTCGCATTTCTTCGGCCTCACGCAGAGCTTCTTCAGCAGCACGTATGTCGGCTGGAGAAGGCGAAATCGTTGAAGCTGGTGGCTTGGTCGCATCGGGTGGACCCTGAGGCGGGAACGAAGGCGCGTCAGGAGAACCGGGAACATCGTCGTGATCCCCAGGGTTCACATCCTTACCCGAAGGCTCTGTAGCAGTTTCTTGAACCGAAGGGACGCTACTTGGATCAGCAGTCCCCATGTCCACGTCACTCCGGTCGCCACTGAGATCGACCACGGCGGGAGTCGAGGAAGACGCTGGTGTAGGAGGTGGCGACCATGAACTTGGAGAAGACGGTACGGACTTGGACCGAGTCTTCATATGACGTCGGGGCGACTTGGCAGGAGAATGAGGACGAGATTTCTTGCGCTTCTTCTGGGCCGCCTTCTTCCACGCCTTCGGACCGAACAGCGATCGACGAGCCGACTTGGGAGTTGAAGTATCGGCAGGTGGCGCATCACCGAGACCGGCAGCTGCCATCGAAGTACTGGCCTTGTCCGTTGGGATTGGAGCCTTGTCTTCGTCAGAGTCTTCCGACTCGTCGTCTGAATCCTCGCCACCTGGTCTAATACGCTTATGGGACTTCCCATGGGCCACTTGGTGAGCGGCCTTGGCCAAAGCTGCAGGAAGGGCTTGAGGATCGTCCGAAGACGCGGTGGCAGACTGAATGCGCCGCAAAGCGACTAACGTCTCCTGATCCAAGTCCAGCGCGTCCAGGTCCAGCTCACCCGCAGTCAGACCTATCACGAAGGATTGTAAACGAACGTTAGTTGCTGAACACACGGTGGGAAGGAGCGACATTATGAGCGTACCTTCAACAGCCAGACGAAGTACCTCGGGATCCATCCCTGCCAGACTCACGTGTGCACGGAGGGTACGATTCGCTTGGAGGAGGCGAGTGTTACGGTCTTGCTGGTTCTCGAGGACCTTGAGCGTGTCGTTATAAAAGTACTTGCCCAGGGCAAGCTTTACCAGAAGGAGGTGAAGCTTCCGAGTCTGCTCGGTATTCGCTCCAATAGAAGACTTGTACACCTCGCGTTCGCGAGCCAGCTTCTTTTGTAAAGTACTGATGAAAACGTCCCGAGCTTCGACCTCGCAGTGAAGACGATTCAAGTCTTCTGCGTGTCGTTCCATAGTGGCTTGAACAGTGGCGAGCATGGCGTCGTTCTTGGCGTTCGACTCGCGGATAATCTTGACGTGGTGGTGTAAGGCTTCAATCTCAGCGTTTGCAGCCTTGAGGAACGTCTCCGCGTTCTCACGGGCCATGATGTGGGGTGCCACCGAACGTACGGCGGCAGCAGCCTCGGACTGAGCAAACCGCAACTGACGTTCCAAGTCGGCAACTCGTTCGGGTAATGCCGACAGCGCGTCAGGAACAGGTTGTATCGCAGCGAGGACATCATCGAAACCAACGGCAGTCTCGAGGCGACGCTGAGTGTGTATATCGCCGTGGAGAGGAGGCGCAACGCTGAGCTGCACTTGGTGACGAGCCATTGCAGTCAAGTACGGGATTATCGAGGTCATCATGTGATCGACCGATGCCTCCGTACTTTCAGCCAGCATGGCGCGCAGCGAATCTTCGGTGAGTGGTGGTGGACCACCAGCTGGGGCAGGAGGAGCAGCAGGAGCCATCTCCGCGGATTCAGCGACGACGGGGAGTGCTGCAGGAGCTACCGCAGGGAGTGAAGAGTCTGGGGCAGGAAGCGCCGAAGGACCAGTTGATGACGCCGCTGTCGGAGGAAGTGTAGCAGACTGAGGGACGTTCGAACCCTCGGCCTTGCCCTCCTGAGAAACAAGTCGAGTAATGCGAGA